TAATATATACTTATAAAGAGTATACTTAGGGAGCTGACATTTAAGAGCTCATTAAAATATGCAGAATTTATATAATTTTATTTTAATTTTGTAATTGTCAAATAACTGACTCTGGTACCCTGGAGAATAGTCAATTGACAATCCTCAGGAGGCTATAATAAGCTCTTAAATGTCAGCTCCCTTATAGAGGTTTTATTATATATCAACTTTATAAAAAATATATTTTAATATTTTAAAAATTTTAATATTAGTTTAGGATAAGTTTGAGTTTTTAATATTGATTTAGATTTTGAGAAAACTAGGTTTTAACGTAGGTTTAGGATATTGGTATTGGTTTGGGATTTCAATATTAGTTTAAGATTTAGGAATCAGTTTAGGGTTTTGGTTACATTTCGATAACTATAAGCGAAACCTAAAACCTTTAGGCTCAAGAAAAAAGGTTTAGGTTCCCATCTCTAACATGAACTTTTGGTGCTCAATATGTTTGTCATGTGATGTTTAAAACTTTTTTGGATGGTGATTTTATCCCAGTCCAAATCAATAATCACAAAAACTTTATCAGAGATGTTATCTATAATAGATTTAATCTGAAAAATTATTAGAATTGTTTTTACCAAATTAAAAATAATTTTAATAGATGTAAAAAAAAAACCAAATGATTGTAAATCCAAAAAATATAAAGAGTAGTAACTGTTAAAATTAACAGAATTGTTTAAACTTAATTTTTCAATTTTATTCTTAGTAGTCTTACTAAATATCTCAATACTACTATTTTCAACACTATCATAGTCTTTATGCAAAGATGATTTTTAAACAATATTTAACAAATTTAACCATTTTAAACAAAATTTTAATTATATGAAAAGCAGTTCAAAACTGTTTAATAGATGATTCACCTGGAGAGCTATGTGATGCAGATTACACAAGATTTATATATAAATTACAGTGCCCAACAAAAGTTTCCCTGCACCTATAACTTGACACAGAGATAAAGTAGGAAAAAATTTTTTTTTTATTTAAAAGTACATTAAAATACATGAAAATTAATGCATCGTATAATTACCCTCTGCTTCAATTAGGGTCTCCACATAATGCTTCATACTACCCACCAAATTAGCTACATATTCCTTTGGTAATTAATTTTATTCTTTTGTTATTTGTGCTTTCAGAGTACTAAGTTTATTAATTTTTTTTTTTGCCAGGTTCATTTTTATAAATTCCCAAATATTCTTAATTAGGTTTTGGTCAGGTGATATCGATAGCTAGAGAAGAACTTCGACTTTATTTTCCTCCTTCCATGCTTTTGTGATTTTTGAACAGTACTTCAGGTCATTGTCCTCCTGCAAAATCTAACTATCACAACCTTTACCAAAAAGGTCCACAGCAGAAGATAGAAGAGCTGTTTCATACAGGGTGGTCATATATTGCATATTAAGATTATGCATAAAGCAGACCAACCTTCTAAAGCCAGAAGAAGAAAAACACCCCATATGTAAACTTTCAACAGATGCTTAACAAAACAGATTATTTTTTTTGCTCTGACAAGCTGCTATGCCTTTTTTAACTGCTAATTCAAGTAGAAGATGCTTTTGTCAGTAAATATTACGAATTCCAGTCAAAATCCTTATGTTTCTTTGCCCACAAGAGCTATTTTTTCTGATGCTTCTCTTCAAGCAAAGGCTTCGCAAGTTTTCCATAATAATGAGCCCACCTTTACCAAGGTGCTGTTGAATAGTGCATATGTAAATGTCTATATTCTGTTTTAGAAGCTCAGAACAGATTTCTGGCACTGAGATATCTATGTTTTCTTTTGCTAACTTCAAAATCTGGTTGTTTTGTCTTTGCATGATGACCCTTTGATGACCTAACCTTGGTTTGTCACTTAGGTCTTTACTTTCTCACCATCTTTTTGCCTATTCTTACACTATTTTTTCATTACAGCAAACCTCCTTCGCTATCTTATGCATTGAGAGCTTGGGCCCTTCAGACAGCACCAGGGCATAGGATCGATTTTCTAGTCACATGATTTTCCGAGATCAATTGGCCAATTAAAAATCAGGATCTGGTGTAACGTAAAAAAATCAAAACAAACGTTCTCTTTGCAAAAATCACATTTATTTTAAAACCTTTATTAGTAAACTGCCTTTGGGGTTCTAATAAAAAAAATTCATCGTGCAATTTTACTATTAGGCAGCCCTTTCTAACCCTAAAATACTCACAAACCTAACATAAATGTGCCTTTTTGTTCGAAAACGACAGGCCTCGGAAAATCACATGATCGAAAATTGATACTACGCTCTGTCAAATTCGGGCCCTTCAGGTGGCTAGTTAAAAATATGATTTTATATCACTTAAGTAAAGAAAGAGGCATATTTTTAATTTAAAATTGGTATATAAGGAGCATAAGTATTTTTACTATATACAGTACCTAAAGAAGTTTAGTACAATCTGCATATGCAATGTACTATGCCCTGTATGAAATTTCATGCTTCTAAACATGAATTTTTGGAAATTACAGATGCAGAGAAACTTTTGTTAGGCACTGTATATATAAAATCTTCAAATAGTAAATGTCTGAAACTTTTTTCTTACTAAGTAAACTGCCTTTAACCTTCAAAAGCAAATCAATTTTAAAATTTTTACAGTACAATAAATTCTATTAAAAATATTTATTTGTAATAGAAAGGGTCCAAATTGCCTATAAATCGAAAATATGATTTTGTAAGATTCAGGTAAATTTCAATGTGGAAGTTGATTGGCATAAAAAATTTTTAGGAAACTTGTATATCACAATAAAACAAAGTTTTCAAATAAGTCCAAACACAATAAACTTGATCTCCAAATCATATATTTTGGATTCTTTTTACAACAAAAGTTCTCATACAATATATCATTTTTTAATTATATTTATTTAGCTAATAATCATAAGAAACCAACATGAGGTTGGTCTTAATATAAGGTCAATTAGTATTTGTAGATTACTAATCATTGGTGAACTTTAAATACTAATTGACCTCACATTAATCAACCTTATCTTGGTCTCTTACAATAATTATAATAAGTTTTAATTTGTGTTTTATTGATGATTTTGGTAGTTATACTAGAAGGAAAAGGTGTGACGATTATATATGAGTATGTTTCTTTTTTAAAGTAAAATTGTTCAAATTTGATTAAAGTTAATATGAGTAATAACTAAATAAGGTTCATTATTATTTATTGTGCCGAGTATATATACTTTCAATTTTGCAGTACTCATATTACGATAAATCAATGTATAAAAAATGTTTAGTGTAAAATTAGAAACTGTTACTAATAGCAAGAACTTTTAATATTTGTGCAATAATTCAATTTTGCTTTTGTCACATAATATTCGTAGAAGATTTCTATTTGTTGTTATATTAAAAAAATTTTGGATTCCTGCTCTACTGACCTGGCCAGGCTATGAAACTTATTATATAAGTTTATTTGGTCTAACTTAAAAAATTTTAAGAAAGTTCAAAAACTATAATGTGTTTAATATGTACTTATTTAGTTAAATGAAGTAAAATATTTTTAGAAAGTTATGATATTACATTTATAGCTATTTAGTAAAGCAAAAAAATAATCATTATAAAATAAAAAATCTTAATAGTTTAAGCAACAAAGATACAAAATATATAATAACTCTAAACCTTTAATTAAAAAACCTGGTTTAAAAATATTTACCCATTTGAAATAAACTTTTACTTTATATATAACTATTTGTCCAATTCTATAAACTTATTAAGTTTTTGACCAGTTGAATTTGATGCTTAAAAATATTATATTGAGTTATTTAATATATGTTATTTAGCAACTATTACTTATATGAAGATAAATTATATTTAACTAGCATAATTATTAGTTAATTAGACAATAAATCCTAATAGAATTATATAAAAAATCTTTACAATTAATTTTGTATTTCACAACTAAAATCAAAATAAAAAAAAGAATATTTAATTATATACAAAAAATTATTATTTATTACAATAATTTTAGTAAACAAAAAGTTATACTCTAAACTTATAATTTATTTATATCTGCTCTTTTTATTCTCTGTATTGTTAACTAACTTAATAAAGTAAGTTTATAAGAAAATCTGTCAAGCTAAAAAACTATTATTTTGATATATTTGCTGTTTTTAATTTACTTGATATCTTAATTACTCTTATTTACACAATTGTTTAGACAATATATTATTATTAGTATATTTTTAATATTAAATAAAATTTAAACTACTATTAAAAATGCTATAAATTTATTTAAAATAATATTATCTAATAATGTATTTTATAGCCATAGTTACAAATTAGACATATAATTATTATTATAAATATTTTTATATAGAATATAATGCTATTACATATTGTTAACCAATATGTACAGTATATGATTATTAGAAATTTTTCTATATTTTACAATTAGTTTAGCATTAATATACAATTTAGAACATAAAATTCACAAAGGTAATTATACACAAATTATGATATTATTTAAGAAAGTTTTATATACATCTATGATTAATAAAATAGAATTCAAAATATTTAATTTAAAGTATAAATATTTTATAAAATATAATAAGTTTGCAACTTATAATTTGTATCTCTGAAAATGCTAAGATATTTGGGTATTGGACATATTAACAAAATTTATTATTATGTGAAAATCATTACTAATATTTATGTTGAGAGAAATTTTGTGTTTCTGAAGAATGTTATTTTTGTATATACTAAAGCATACAACCCAGTACAAAACCTTTCAATCTATTACAACCAATATAAAGCATTTTTATGAATGATAAGACCTAGTTATTGCAAACTGTTATCCAGACCATCTTGAAATATCAAAATGATTTCACTATCCAGAATAAAAAGACATTAATCAAGAAAATATTTAATATAATCATTTAAATAATATGTACTTGGTTTTTAGTACAATATTACATCATTGATTTATCTATTGAAACATATACACGTTCTATGGCACCTTGCAGATTATCTTGTAAACATCAAGCAGTGGTTGCAATTAAATATCATTCAGGATCGTTTAATTATATTGCTACTCCTAATCTTGAAGGTTGTGACTTACAAATATATGGGGTAAATTTATTAAATTTTAATTATTAGTTTTTTTTTTTTTTTTTTTTAAAAAGCGAGGCCGTGCCTCTGTTCCTTTATTAGAATTCATATGATATTACAAGTGTTATTACAATATTTTATGTTTTCTAATCTATATGGAATTAAAGGCTA